AGTTATCTGTGCTCCCACCCCCAGCCCAACCCTCTTAAAACTGCGCATCACCCCAGCACCTGGGTCAAGACCAAGGCGCATCCCAGAGTAGGCCCCACCCCATTGGAGGCCGCTGGGACTTACCTCCTGCACCACAAACACAGGCTGCTGGGGCATCAGGGGCTGCGGGGACGTAGGGCTGGGAGCAGGGGCATAGCCCACACTGGGCACTGTCACCAGGGCTGGGGACAAGGCCTGAGCATCAGCGTACTCTCGCTGACCTTCTAGAAACCTTACTCGGGTTAAGGATAGGTTGACTAGGACAGGGTGCAGCTACTTCTCTTTTTAGATGGGGGTACCCCAAGATAGAGATCCCTGGGGGAGTATCCCTGCCACGTTGCCTAGCCTTGGTTCCTCCTGCTGCAGGGCCAGCCTTCCCCTTCGGCTCATACCTAGGCTGTGAGCCCCACCAGGCTTGGGCAGGGTCAACACTTCCGTGCGCTTCCAGGGCAATGTGTTGATAATGAGGAGGCCCTCGGGACCTGGCTCCCCAGCACACAAGGCCGCGGCTGCAGTGCTGAGCAGTGTACTGCCATGGGAACGGATGTCTGAGGAGAGACAGGTTTGATCACGGGTAGGCGGTGGGTTCCCCTTGGCCCCGGGTGGAGAACGGTGGGACTGCTATGAAGTCAGGCCGGCCTCACCTTCATAGTAGTTCATGGCATCTTCCACCACCAGCTGGATGCAGCTTCCGGTCAGCACATCATGGAACTGGTTGAGGAGCAGGAGCCTGCAGACACCACAGGCAGAGAGAGGAAAGGCTGGGAGGGGCAACCAATGAGGGGGTGAGGGGTCAGGTGAGCAGCAGGAAGGAGCACGGGACTGACCTCCAGAGGTGCTCCAGCTGGGCTGCTGGGTACAGGAACTGGGCACTGCGGGCGAGGGCCAGGCTGCTCAGCAGCTCCACGTCATGAAGGATTTGCTCACACTCCCGATTCATCTTCTTGAGCTGTGCCCAGAGAGGGAGGACCAGCTTGGGAGTGTGCTGTGACCAGGGCACCTTCCAAAAAGCTCTCTCTTGCTTAGAACCCTTGCTCAGCCTCCCAAGGCCTCTTGGACGTGGTCTTTCATCGGAAACTTACAAGTGGCCTCCCACCAGAACCCTGGAGAGGTTCTGTCCCACCCCCGGCCCGTGTGTGTGGGATTAACCCAGCTCTCTTTTTCGAGCACCCACTTGGAGAAGGAGCCCGCTGAGCCCCACCTCGGCCCCTCCCCACCCTTTCCCCACAGCCCTGTGCAGACCAAGGCCCTCTGTTTGCCAGGCTGGTAGCCTGGCCCTGACCTGGGCATGGGTGGTGTAGGTGCCATTGTGCAGTTCCAGGAAGAGTTCCCCAACCCATGTGCACAGCTGCCCCGAGTCTTTCTCCAGTGCTGTGAAGAGCTGTCCAGGAGAAGACAGCTGCACCCTGGGGAAGACCACAATCCTGGGCTCCCAGCTGGGAAGAGTTTTCCCTTCATCTACAGTGCAGACCAGAGGGCCCCAACAGAGAAGACACTCCCTAGAAAATTCCCTGTAGATAGTGCTGCACTCTGGTGGGGTCAAGCCCCTTCCTACATCAGATTTTCCCTCCACCCTATCCCCAGAATGGAAGTTTGGGAGAATGATAGGCCAGGACTTGAGACACAAGGTCCAGTGGAGGGCTGAGCTTCCTACATAAACTTCCTACATAAAGGACAGACTCAAGGGCTTGAGGGTGGGGCTATATGAAGGTGGCTTGAGAGCCAAGGGCTGATGTTGGCTCAGGCCTGACCTGGGCAGCCCATCAGTATTGCCCAACCGCTTCAAGCGGTCCAGCATGGTCTGTGTGGGGCCACCACCGCCATCCCCGAAGCCAAAGAGGAAGCCACTGTGGTTGGTCCGCCCCTTGTCTCGGTTGTTGGTCACGGTCTTCAGCACCTAGATGGGGAGGGACAGGTCAGCCTAGGACAGGATACCTAGCCCTCTCTGAATCCCCAGCATTGTATATCCCCTCACCTCCTCCACACGGCCCTGCATTCCGTATGAGTCTCCAGGTGGGAAGTGTACCAGCACTCGGGAGCCATCCAGCCCCTCCCAGAAAAAGGTATGGTGCTGCCGGGCAGAGAGAGGCAGGAGAGAGGTCAGTCAGGCCTGAGGCAGTGTGGGCCATCCACATCCATACTAGCTGTAATCCAGGCAGAGGCCTACCACAATCTGGATAGGGTTTTGGTGGTCTGTCCAGGCACCCTCAAGAGCCTGGAAAAGGATGAAGGGCCAAGTGGGATCCAAACCCTGAGACCCTGACCCCTGGGGCTTGCTTACTGGGAAGGAGTTGACCAAGTTCCAGCTCAGTTTCTGTGTCAGGAAGCGTTTGATGCCACAGCCACGCATGATCTGGGGGAGCTGTGCTGAGTAACCAAATGTATCTGGCAGCCAGAACTGCGGGGAGAAGGCTGTGAGCGCTCAGTGGAACCACCTCAGTCTCAGACCCTGTGGGCCAAGTCCCAGGGGCCCCTGTGTACACCTGCTGTGGCAGTCCCCAGCCTACCTCAGAGCACATCTTCCCAAACTCCTGCAGAAAGAAGTTCTGGCCCTGTAGGAACTGCCTCACCATGGACTCTCCACTGGGAAGGTTCCCGTCCTGACGGGGACAGCAGGACGAGCTGGGGTTAGCGCCAGACTGGACACAGGTAGGAGCCTGGGCCCACTTCACCCCGCTGGGAAGGTGTAAGGGGGGCTCTAACACAGGGTTATAGCCCAGCAAGAGTCCACTCTGCTCATTTCCGGCCCAGCCAACTAGCTGCTAGAGGATGGTGCGAGGAACAGGCACTTACCATTTCTACCCAGGTGCCCCCCACAGGCACGAACTGTCCACGGCAGGCAAACTCCTGGAGCCGGGTGTGCAGGCCAGGGTAGTGGCTCTTAACCCACTCGAGCTGTTGAGCCTGAGGGGAAGGGGAACGTGAGGTAGGAGCTGGGTAAGAGTGAAAAGGACCCTCCTCATGGTCCAGCATCGGGCAGCCCTAGGGGTAGCTGAGTAAGGAACACTCTTGGCCCTTGAAGTCCCCAGACCTTAGGGAACCCCAGGCCCACCCTGCTCCACGTCGCTGCCCTCTGACCTGAGAGCAGACGAAGACGAACTCAGTGTTCTGCTCCATGAGCTTGACTGTTGTCGACCAGCTCCGGGCACACTTCCGGACAGTCTCCTTGAAGGGCCAAAGCCAGGCTAGGGAGAGAGGGGGCCGGAGTAGAGAGACAACAAGGCCCCTGTTCTTCACAGTTCTCCAGCCCACCCCCTCTTCCCTCACCTCAGACCCAGCCTAGCCCTCTTCCCATCCAGGTCTACCCTGCTAACCCTTTTTGTATCATCCTGCAAGGTAGGAGGAGAGGGTCGGGGGAGATGGGCTGAGATCAACTGTCAGGACACAGGCACCAGGCCCTGGAAGAACATTACGTTAAGGCTCAGATTCCCCGGAGGCAGAGGTAGGTACTAGAACGTGACAGAGGATGGGCTTGTTTGAGCAGGCTGTACTAGGGGAGGTACCTCCAGTGCCTCCTGATCTACAGGCCTCAGGTCCAACCTTATTAGCCCAGGACACCACATGGGGGCTCAGCAGACAGAGCCCGTGTTGCATGTTTAGAAACCTTAGCTGAGTCAGAATGAACACAGCAAGGATCTTGTTTAAAATATGCATGTCAGGGTGTGGTGGCTCACACCTGTAATCCAGCATTCAGGGGGCTGAGGCTAGCGGACTGCTACCAAAACCTGCCCATGATACACAGCAAACACCTGACTTAAACACAGTAACAACGGGCAAATAAACAAAAGCCCAAAGCTCTGAGATACTCCAAGCTCATCAGGTTCAAAGCCGAACACTTGACCCTTCCTGGAAACCCACCCCGTGCTTGGGGGTCCCTGTCTCAATCTGGGTTTTTCATCCTCACTAATTCAAAAGTCACTTTGCCCAGGAATCCTCTCTGGACTTCCTAATCTAGCTAGGTTAAATACCTCTTCGGGCCCCAAGTTCCACATGCAACATCACCACGCCTGGCCATTCTGGGGTCACCAGTCCCCACAACCCACCCAGTGTCTGTCACAGGCCTCTCAAGGCACCAGCTTTTGTTGGAAGAATAAGCAAGCCAAAGCAGAGCCCATGATCCAAGATCCCTAACTCATTATACACATGGGGAAAA